CACAGTCTCCTCGAACGTCCCTCCTTTCAGGCTTCTTGGTGCGACATCATTTTTGTTTTGTCCCTTACGCCTGTGTCCTGCACAGCGTGTAATATTCTTTCTGGCTGCGGTCACTTCTTTCCGTGGGTCAGAATTTTTCTGAAGGTGTTCGTCTTGCGCCATGCCACTCTTGCACGGCTGGATAGCTTCCTGTAGGCGGCAGCCAACTTCCTCCGGGATCCACAAATTCCTCGGATCACATCCTTTGGCTCTCCACGTCGCCCTGCAGCTTGACTTCGGCCCCTTCGTCCTTTGACCGGTTTCATTAGGGCGCTTTCCTTGGGGACTTCTTGATACTCCTTTACGGACTGCATCATTCCTGGATCGGCCTAAATCTTCTCTATATCTGCCTCCGTCGCTTCGTGGCAGGCGGTCGTCTCTTTTCGGGTAGTCGGCCTCATTTCTTCTCGCCAGGCCCTCATCTCGGCCATCAGCTCCTTGTGACTGGTGTCCATTTTGGCCAGCAGAAGTTCCATCGTTCGTAGCATCTCCATAATGCGACAGTATAACACTTGTTGCACTTGTGAATTCAATAATTTGTCCTAAATTGTGGCGTGTTTAACATCGTAACCACTTTGTGACTCCATTTATAGCGTGTTTTGTATACTGAAGCGCCGTTCGGATTGGCAACTGGTTTATTAACAACCACTTGGTTACACACTCTCTCTTAATTACACTCAAATGCAGCTCAGATTTACGCACTCTCCAGTTCACCTTTGCACACGCATTAGGGTTGTCTGTCTTCCTCTAGTCGTTTCCTAGCAACGGATCTCCACACAGAAACTGTCACTTCAGATCACTCCAAATATTACACATTAGATGTTTCAATTACACTTGCAGCATCATTGTACCGTCGCACACACAAATACTTCTAAATCACACTTGACATCCTCACAGGGCGAACTTCTGTATCCCTGCTTCCACTTCGCTTGCTTCCGCTACTCTCAGATACTCCCGAATACTGATTAATACTGACATCATTTCTGCCGAATGCTCTCGTTATAGAGCTCCCGCACCGACCACGCATAAAACTTCGTATATTGTTGGAACTTGTTTACTGAGCGATTTTACCAGCAACGGAATCCATAGAAACTAGTTACGTGATAGCCACCACTGTTTCGTGACGTCACAGCCTAGCGTGGTGTGCTGTTTACTGAGCGTCGCGTAGCAACGAGCTGGTTGTGTGTATGTGACTTCACTCTCGGAAGCGCAGAAGTCACGTGACTCCTACTCACTAATGCAGCATGACGTCATCGCGCCTGCGCGGGAGTCTCCTTGAGCCCTTGTAAACTCAATGCTATTGGCGGGCAACATGTCCTACGTGATGTCATGAAAGGCATCACTGCTCCCGCAGTGTCCGGAGGCAAGTCTATTCATACAGAATGGCTTACGCCAGTACCGAGAGCACAGTAGGTAAGATGGTATGCTATCACACCACGAGCCCTTGCCCGGCCGGTAAGAAAGTATGCTATCATACCACCAGTCTTTGTGTACTGCTCCCTCCGAAAGAATCACTCTTTCAAATGAATAGCTATAAAAAATTTGCACCCCTGACCTCTTGTCTTGCATTCTTACTCTGTTGTTTTCTCTGAACTGGGTTTAATATCACTTTGCTCATATCCATCGGGAGGGTTATGAGTGAAGTGATATGAAATTCAGTTCCAAAACAAAAAACACAACAAAGTAAAAACCTCTGTAGTACAAGGGATCACCTTCCACCTCCTTCACCAGTGCCTGTAACTATGAATATTTAATTTACATAAATTCAACACCCCCTTACTGAAATGCGATGGACGTTGTAAAGTATTACATACGATAATTCTGTCTAGTAAAGCTGAAAGTAGGCAAACTTAAAATAAAATTTTTTCCATTAGAGATATTTGTATTCAACTTCATAACTTCACTCGCAACTGACACATGAAAACTACACAGAATATAGTTTTTCAGTTACATTACTGTTTTATAAATCATGTGCAGCAAGCAATAATACTGAGGTTTCCATTTATTATTCATTTCAGTAGTATGATGACACTCAAGAATCTGAAATACACTCTTTTCAACAGGATTAAGATTCACTCACTCATGGAACTGAGCCCTTCTTGAGAAACTGCCAATTGTGCAGCTACTCAAGGACTTCCCAGAATTTTATGGAATTCGACGGTTCATTACCTTGTTCACAAGAGCCCTCCACCGGTCCCTATCCTGAGCCAGATCAATCCACTTCATACCATTCCATCCTGTCTCTCTAAGATTAATTTTAATATTGTCCACCCACATACGTCGTGGTCTTCTCAGTGATCTATTTCCATCTGGCTTTTCCACCAATATCCTATATGCATTCCTGGTCTCCCCCATTGGTGCAACATGCCCTGTCCACCTCATCCTCCTTGACTTAATCATTCTAATTATACTTGGAGAAGAGTAAAAGTTATGAAGCTCCTCATTATGCAGTTTTCTCTAACCTCCTGTCACTTCATCTCTCGTCTGTCGAAATATTCTCCTCAACACCCTGTTCTCAAACACCCTCAGTCTGTGTTCCACCCTTAATGTCAGAGACCAAGTTTCACACCCATACAGGATCACAGGCACAGGATTGCATTTAAATAATATATGAAAAGAAATAAAATAATTGCAGAATTGTGACCTCATGATCCTGAAACATACTCATTTTTAATGTTGAAGCAGATGACCCGAACATTTTAAGTCAGTTATAAAGCAATGCCACTTCCTTCTTACCGATGCATAAACAAGGACCATGTGAGTCGGGAAACAATTTCCCATACAATTCTGAGCAGGAATATAATCAGTTCGACATAAAGCACAGAATGGACGCTGATCATCGTCTGAAAGTGAAGTTCTAATACAAAAGAACAAATTCCGTGGCCTGTAGTCCGCCGCTTGTCGGTGAGGTTAGTGATAACTTTATGGGGTAAAGGGAGTCGCGTGGGCAGCGCAACGGATACCCACAGCCATTAATGTCGATTTTATAGACCAGAGCTGCAGTTTCCTTGAAATAGCTCCTCAGTTATCCTAACGAGGCTGAGTGGACCCCGTTCCATACCCACTACTTCTTATAAAACCTGGTAGCGCCGGGAATCGAACCCGGGAATCTGTAGCAAGGAACTCTGACCACTGGACCACAGACGCGATCTGAAATTCTAATTTACTGTAAAAAGTTAAAAAAAAAGTAAAGCCATCCTTGTACCAAGCCGTGAAGGCCCATAGGGCTGTGAGACGTTGAGGGTCCCACATTATCTAGACAATCGGCTAAAGATGGCGGTAAGGTTGTCAGCCTACTCCCCAGGAAAATTATTTAATTAATTCCTGGTACTCATTTCTGTTAGTGGCTGAGTGAACCCACGAGCCATAGAGCGGCTGGAAGGATTAAGTCAATTGAAAAAATCCAATGACCTCATCGGGACTTGAACCCGCGACCTTCCGGCTTGTATCATAGTGCCTCAACCACTACGCTACCGCGTGCCCCGTTCTAATTTACTGAGATTTAAGAAACTTGTTTGAAAAGCGGAGAAGAGTTGGAGCTCAAGTTCAGGACAGGTTTCTTGTACATAGTCTCTAACTGCAGATGATGTTGATGTTAGCAATACAGTACAGTTAATTTCTTTGTTGGAATAAGCAACATGTAATAAACCCATTACACCATGAATTAAAACAAACATATCGTGCTGGAACCTTGTGAAATTTGAAGAATTTGACTTTTTCCTATCTACTGGATGGCATAAGCACCCAGAAGTTTTTGTTCTCTTCTTCATTTATACTGCAAGAAGCAATGCAAAATTATAAGACCATCATGATACCCCTTGAACTCCTTGATATTCTACAGGCAAACTTTGGGCTAAACCGAAAGTTGTAGAACATACAAACAAAATATGGTCTAGATGACAGTTCATCATAACCTCAAAAATTTTGGACTTGAAACAATTCTACATATTTCTAATTTAATTCGTTGTAATAAGCATAACATTTATATACACAAATAATATGTTTAACATGGAGATGTTACTTTGCGCGTAAATGTCTATTCCCGTTTCGCAACCACATCAAATCAAAATTCATGCTTACCGTAACCACATATAATCAAAGGCCATAACCACATATAATAGCATGAACTCAAATTGATTTTTTAAGGCTCTCTGATTGGTTGAATGCTGTGTATAATTTCTGCCTCCGCACAAAGTGGCAGTAGTTGCGCTCGTTGCCCCTTCTTCTTTGTTGGCGCTTAGAAGTGGATTGCATAACCTCGTTCACTGATGAGTATCATAGCAACCGACTATTTATCAAGCAAAATGTAAATCGTGATAACTCGTTCCACATCCCGTCGCCCAACAACGGGTTGACATGTCTCAATATGTACTATAATTAAGCATCTTGTAATTTTGTTTAATGAAATCCTAATTTTCAATGTGGTTAACAGTAGATATACGTCGAGTAAACAGTCGTTGCTAGGTAAAATCTAAAACAATATATGACTGTAGGATCCACTCACAATGGATCGAATGCTAACCAATCGCATGCTAGGAACCATTCGCTGCTTAGCAACAGCAAGTAAACAGTCGTTGCTACGTAAACTCTACAAGAATATACGCCTGTGAAACGCACCCAGAGTGGATCGAGTGACAGCCAATCACAGGCTAGAAACCAAATCGCTGCTTAGCAATGTCTGAGTGAACAGCCGGTGCTAGGTAACCCCTACAAGAATACAGACAGTTACGTGTTTTCTGTACGACCGACTCAAGGTTATGTGTGGAGATATATTAAGCGGGATTTTTTAGTTCTGTCAGTCTGACACCAAGACAGACAGACTGACTGACCGTCAGTTGCAACGTGACTCAGACTCAGACTCAGTTCCAGTTGATAGTTGCGTTTGAGTACAACGTTGAAAGTGTTAGTGTTCACTGTTGTTGTTACTAATCTCCAGCCAACAATCAGTTCAGCAAGTTTTTGTGTCTTCATACATAGACAACCAACAATTGTTTGTTTCAAGATGAACTTGACAAGGGGAAAATTGTTGATCATAGTTTTATTCGTCCTGACATTGAAAACCCTCGGTAAGTGTTTGAAATATGTATACATCCGTACTCTTACAGTATTTATCAGAATTTCAGGCGAAAAAATCTAGTCAGGGCTGGCGAAACTTTTGAAAATACGTCCGAACTGTTGTTTCTTTTCCGAGGATTTCATACACCAGCCTATTTTAGTGTAGTAATATTGATCGTGAAAATATAGATAAAGCTATCCCTGTAACAGGCTGTGGACTCCCACATCGTCGTGAGATGCGGAGGCTCCCACATTTTCTAGACAATCGGCTCATAGATGGCGGTGAGGTTGTTAGCCTTACGCTCCGGTCGCCTTTTACCCCGAAGAATATTCCTGGTACTCATTTTTGTTAGGGGCTGAGTCGACCTCAGGGCCATAATAAAGCTGGAAGAAATAGGTCAACTGAAAATTTCCAACTCATCGCCACGATTATCGTTCATGCTTGCAGTAGATCTTGGTAATTTCAATTTATTTCAGCTGCTAGCAGTCATTTATGTGATGTGTGTAGTGAAGATATTGTGGCGGAAGACGACCTCTGCACGGACTATTCAACTGCCGGATCGTGTCGGTTCGACCAGCCTGTCTGCACCGGGGAGCCATGGGAAGATGGTTTCGCAGAAGAATTCGACTACTCCTGTTCCCAGGAAGAGGTAATGCTAGAAGTACATGAAATATCAGAGACTCAGTAACTTATATATAGACTAGTTCAGTGCTTGTCAACCCGTTTTTCTTTCTTCCTTTGTTTTATTCCTTCTATGTTTCTTTATTTATTTCCTTCTCTCTTTCTCTCTTATTTCTAACCTCTTTTCCTGCGCCCGTCAGTAATACTAACATTACAGGGTTTCAAATTTCTGATGCTTCAACTCCTGCTCTAGTCTTCATGACACATACTTCAACGGCATTCTCCATATGTTCCTTCGATAAGTAGTACCAACATTATGGCCTCTCAGATTGTTGGGGTAATATCAGTATGTTACTTAACACTCTGCGGACCGGTGACATATTTTTATGCCCAGCACTTTTAAACGTGGCGGACCGGTGGCATATTATGACTTTAGGACATGTTATGTTGAAACACACTATACCTTGCACTGGCGCCAGGCAGACGCATGACTGGTGCGTGATAGACCTCTTGAATGTTTGCTTCGTAGTCAGTAACATGACCCCGCTGTTTATGACCCAACTGTTTTCCTTTCTCACTCCAAAAGAAAATGCCTTTGTTCATCCTCCAGCTGCATACACCAGGCAGGAATTTACTAGTGCAAAATGGATCAAGGTCGGAAGAGGTTGAGGTCCAAGCGTTTTCCCGGAGAACAAGAAATATCTGATGAGCTGACGTCCCTTGTAAGTCTGCTAGTGATAGCGACTCACAATCTGATAGTGAGTGTGGCAGGGGCGAACAAAAAATTGTGGCCACAGACAGTGAAAGTGAAAGTGACAGCAGCTCTGACGAAAGTGCGGGTAGAAACATTGTGGGGACATCTTTTGGCTTATTTTGGACTTCACCCATCGTCTGGTATGTAAAAGATAAAAAGACAAAAAACCACGACGTTTCGGAGACTGGATCTGTCTCCGTCTTCAGGTGGATAGGGAAGGATAAACCTACTCAGTTGGGCCCCTTAGAAAGAGCTAGTCTCAATCACTGGACAAACCCCGGTGTGTAGAAAAAACAACCTATTAACAACCGACAGCCGGTTCCATCAGTGGGAGGAAAGGATAAAATCACAGTAAAAACACGATAGAAAATTTGTGCCAAGCATGCACTTGTCAACAATGTAAGGAAACAGAAGTATAGGTTATATTCCATGAAATCAGTTAAAAACGAAATTAAAAACTGGATAATGCATGCCTAATCTGCGTGGATAAATAATCGTGCCACCATGGCGACTTTCGGGAATCAGACTAATCCCCGGAACAAAACTTGCAGGAGTAATGGAACCACTAATATTCATAAAATTGCATTTTTGATTTGTTAACCTCTTCATTGATGAGGGGGATCCATATGGGAGAAATATCCAAACTGGGTTGGCTGAACGGATTGGATGAACATGCCATATGAGCTGATTCTTTGTATTTTCTGTATCTGCTGTTGCTTTCAACCTCCAAGATCCTAGCTTCATCCCAGCTTACCCTGTGACCTTCTTCATATGCATGCTGAGCCAACCTGGATTTCTCTAGAAGACCCTGCTTGAGATTGTGCTTGTGTTCACGGATTCGAACAGCCAGTAGTCTGCCTATTTCACCAATGTAGCTTCTACCACATTGACTGGGAATGCTATAGACGCACTGTGCCGTCTGTTGAGGAACCCTTTTTGGTCTCGTACTCACGAGCGAAGATCGTAAAGTGTGAAACTAGGATCTTGGAGGTTGAAAGCAACAGCAGATACAGAAAATACAAAGAATCAGCTCATATGGCATGTTCGTCCAATCCGTTCAGCCAACCCAGTTTGGATATTTCTCCTATATGGATCCCCCTCATCAATGAAGAGGTTAACAAATCAAAAATGAAATTTTATGAATATTAGTGGTTCCACTACTCCTGCAAGTTTTGTTCCGGGGATTAGTCTGATTCCCGGAAGTCGCCATGGTGGCACGATTCTTTATCCACGCAGATTAGGCATGCATTATCCAGTTTTTAATTTCGTTTTTAACTGAATTCATGGAATATAACCTATACTTCTGTTTCTTTACATTGTTGACAAGTGCATGCTTGGCACAAATTTTCTATCATGTTTTTACTGTGATTTTATCCTTTCCTCCCACTGATGGAACCGGTTGTCGGTTGTTAATAGGTTGTTTTCCTACAGACCGGGGTTTGTCCAGTGATTGAGACTAACTCTTTGTAAGGGGCCCAACTGAGTAGGTTTATCCTTCCCTATCCACCTGAAGACGGAGACAGATCCAGTCTCCGAAACGTCGTGGTTTTTTGTCTTTTTATCTTTTACATACCAGACGATGGGTGAAGTCCAAAATAAGCCAAAAGAAGCACAGTATACACCATCGTCAGAATCCTTTCAAGTCTTTCCAATTGCGGGGACAGCCACATGGGGAAAAGCAGACAAAAAGCCTGATTTGGGACAGTTTACTGGAAATTCAGGGGTGAAGCAAATTCCATCGGACACAATGCAAGTTTCTGAAGTAGCGTAACTGTTTTTCCACAATTCACAATTCGAGCATGGTTGGTGTTCAAAGGAGACATGGACAGGTAAAGAAGCCTGTTTGTATTTCCGAGTATAATATGTTCATGAAGGGAGTTGATAGAGCCGAAGAGTACTTGGCCCATTATTCTCTTCCTTGGAAACCAATAAAGTGGACAAAGAAAGTTGCCTTGTGGCTTATAAATTGTGCCATTTTCAATTCATTTTTTGTTTTAAAAAATCTAAACCCTCGTTCAAAATTGAAATACAAGGCATTTCTGCTGAATGTGGTAAAAGCCTGGGCTACAGACCACACGGTAGCGGCAGAACCGGCGGCAGACACAGTCTTAGTACGACCAGGGCCGTCTACTCCCACCCCACATGGGCCTCATTTTGACCCCCGTGGGCGACTCTCGGGTGATATGCGGAAACATACCCTTGTGAAAATTGTGAAGCGTGAACATGCCAAGTGGAAGCAGCCTTCTAGGCGATGTCGTGTTTGCACAGTACACAATAAAAGGTGTATGACTGTCTACATGTGCAAGTTCTGTGCAATGCCACTTCACAAATGGTAATGTTTCGAGAAATATCACACTCTCAAGCACTTCTAGGAGCATTGGTAAGTGTTCTCCAAAAATTTTAGTTCATAAAATTAATTAGGAGATTTTATATTAATTTTTAAAGTGAACAGTGCACAAGTTAGGGTAGTAGATACTGTCACCATACGGCGTCATTTAAAGTACAGCCGAGTGGCCGTGCGTAACCATATGGGTACCCGCAATCCACGCGTGCGCATAGTGTTTTAAAATCTTTTTTAAGATGGAAATTCTTGTTCTACTTACACTATTTTTGGACACTAGCTTTATAAGTAGACTGTCTTCCCTCCTGCGTCATCTAGCTGAATGTTGCTTCGTGTGGAACAGTTGGAAACATCCGGAAATGCAGAGTCAAATGTCGCACTTCACGCACTTGGTCCGGATGTTACTTCGTTTCCCACCCGAAGAGCATACACGACATCTCAATCTCGTCTTACAGGAAGTCGGCCAGTGATGTCGACTTGCCTCCTATAATCGAGATATCGCCGATGACACAGCAGGAGGTCGACCCCTGGACCGTTGAGGGCGAGGTGGACCCCTTGCAGCATGTTCCACCATGTTCCGCAAAAGGGCGAGACGAAATTCTCTGTGCGACAATTTCGCGCCACAGGATGACAACAGGATGAAACTGTTCAGAATCGTCAGATCCAAGAGATGGAAAAATAGTTTATTTGTCCATTTCCAGGTTCGACGACTGATGCTGTAACTGTTTGCCATTCTGTCCGCTTTGTCGACATAACCCATGTGCTTGTTGTAGTCAGCAACAATTGCTGGCTTGGTGGAATTTCCGTGCTCATCACAGAAACTGCCTTCTGCTGGAGGACAGTGCATGTCTGTCAACATATGAACGTCACGTTTGTCCTTCCAAACTAGTGCCGTCAAGTTCCGTCTCACCCTAACAGGAATGTCACCTTTCTTCAGTCGAAATTGTCTTCGTCGAAAATTGTCAGGCAAGCCCTTCCGATTAGGCCTGAGTGTCCCACAGCACGTTATATCCTTTGTCATCAGTTCGTCAAACAAGTCTGATGACGAAAAGAAATTGTCCATATACAGTTTCTGAACTACGCCCTCAATACTTCTGCATAGGTCCCTAACTGTAGCGTGCGTGGCTGTCAATTATCTCGTCTATGGCCAAATGTTCGGAAGGGTTATAATATTTTTCATATGCGTCATTGTATGCCCGCCCTTTTCTTCTCTCACCGTTCCTCTTGTTGTGCGATGCGATGCAACTTCCAGCCTCACCTTACCTGTTGCAGCGCCGCTCGTCTTCTCCTTGTTGTAGCACTCTTTAATTTCTCAGGGTTTTTTTTATGCTAGCCAGTAGGTAGGGCAAGGAGTTCTATCCTCAGGATCGCATACAGGACCTTAACTCAGAAGAGCACAGGGAAGCGATCAAATGCACACGTACAACATGATTCTGGTTTATTGTGGCACCATTTCTTTGATAACCGTTCACACTTATCACTACAACACGTACATTAATATGACAGTTAAATGACTCTTGCTTATTCGCAAACTCTCCTGTTAATTTATTTATTTCTTTATTTACTTATACTTGGCTGAATCCTTTGTTTTTAGATTTAGATGATGTAATTTCCGGTCCGTGCACAAAGTAACATAGTAACAGAGTCCTTTGTTTGAATTTGGAAGAACGTAAGTTTACGTCCGTGCACACCAACGAATCGTAACCGACTGACTTTCAAAACCGACGCTCTGGATAGCGATACATAAACAGGTCTATGTCCATCTACTATTCCTTAATGTAACCTACTATTTTATAATACTCATAACTAAATAAAATAAAAAAAAATAAATGGAGGGCGGCATTGGACGATTATAATTGAGAGTGTCGAAGATGGTCCGAATTTTTCATAGTCGGTCATAACTGTCGGCATTCCTGTCAGTTTCTCTATTGTTGTCTGCAAAATGAAGAAAACGAAGAATGTTTAGAAAACTGTCGTGTTTCATTGTTAGAGTAGAAAGGGGTGGCAAATTGTTCTACAGTCGACCAGTAGTCCTTCAGTGTGCCTCTAATGTCATTTCCCACTTGAATGATTTTTCCAAGAAACAGAAACATCTCGGAATCGGTCACGTCAGGCCGCGGAGAAGGTCCGTCTTTAAGTCTGTCTACGTGCTGTTGGTAGTACCTCTTCGTTTCTTCCACCAGCAGACGGATAATCCCTGCGAAGTAGAGCATGAAAACGCAGAAAGGGGTGGATCCTTATTTACGTGTGGAGCTTCATTGGTATTTAACCCCACAGCTCCACCGGAATAATTATTCACACACCTCCTGCCATGCTGGTGTGGTGGTCCCCAGGTTGCCGACGAAGATGATGCGTCTTCATCGGCTTCAATTTCTGATTCACTTTCTTCCTCGCCACTCTCAGAGTCATCGGTACAACAGTCTGAATCGGTGTCATTCATAAGCTGATTCTCAGTTTCAACGTCTTCCAAATAAGAGACCATGGTGGACAAATGAACACAACGCTAGCCTTGAACATTCTGACACTGCTGGGCTATATTTCAGAACAGAGTACTTCTTGTCTGGCTATACGAGATAATACACAATCAGTGTTTCTGTGTACGATTAGACATCGCCCACACTCGTGCATACCGAAAGGACCGTACGTACTGGAGAGTGAGGAACGAAAGCATAAACATCCGCCTCTGTTTCAACATAAGCTATACTTAGAATATGATGTCAGCAACAGGCATTTAGACTGCAGAAAGGTCATGTGCAGGAACTGTATGCATTCTTGTGCACAGACGTTCGAAATTGAGGGGAAAAAAATTTGGCATCAGTGTAATTTTTTTTTAGAGATTTTAAAATCAGTAAATTACAATAACTGATTCTATATTCTTTCTAGATAAAAAGCAGCGTTTATTTCGTTCGTTTATCACAAAAATTGTAGAAATCACAGCATTTTGAGTAACATGATTACAATTTTTATTACTCTACAATGGCGGGCATTTAAAAATGCCGGTCCCCAGGGTGATTTAAATATTTAAATTGCCGATCCGCAAAGTGTCAAATGCCTGAACAGATCGTCATGGAACTTTGTATGTATACTATCTCACACTAATCCTCAACGACAAAATTCACAAATCTCTTCCATCAGTAATATCATGATAATATCCTTTCAAACTGCTGAGGCAAAGACGTGGTATTCCTTCAAGTCCGTGTCATAGCTCAAGCGGTTAGTCGTTGGCTTTCCACTGCGGCTGCCCGCGGTTCGATCCCGGCGTCTGGTCAAGCGGGATTTGTGGTGGACAGTGTGGCACTGTGGTGGACTCCACCACGCACTTAGCGAATTAAAAAAAAATTAGTATTGCTTGAACACCTTTACCAATCTTCATGAAGCTTGGTATGTTTATCATGCCATCCGAACCCATCTCAGCAGCAGACTTTATAAATACTATCAGGAATAGCAACATTGAAGACTGTCGATTTTTTCGGGTAATAATATTATTTTTACTTGAATGGCTGAGCTGGTCATCATGAAGGATCATTTGTACATCCTGCCACCTGAAGCTATCTCAATGGCAAATTTTGTAAATTCCTTCTATCAGTAACATCAGCTTTGCAGCATCTGAACTTTCTGATGTAAGAACCTCAGAATACTTGAATTCCAGAGAGGATAGTCGAGAAATTTATGACGTATATCACGTCACGTGAGTCCTGAGGCATACATCATGAACCCCACTCATCAGTAATGCCAAAATCGCAGCATCTTTGATTGGTGAGGCAGTAACCTTAATACTAGTTGATTGCTTATGTGGATTGTAATAAACCTTTGTGTGTATTTGATGCCACCTGAGGCCATCTGAATGGTGTACTTCACTCTCATCAGTTGTACAAAGGCTGCAACATCTCAAAATGTATTTTTATTGACTTCTTTGGGCACTCAAGCTAATGTCTCCTTATTTCTGTTAACATTTTTCATTGAAATGTTGAAGAGGAGGAATTAGGAAGACAAACAGCTGTGTGCTGCTCCAGAGTAGGGAGTTGGCAACCACTGGCCTAGTCAGTCAAGAAGTTACTGTTTAACATAAAATTACAGATAACTTTTATGTGACATTTGTTCTGATATTTGTTGCAGGATTCGACAAAACAACCTTCCCCTGAAGCGGGAGCTGTAATCGCGTTGATCCTTATTTTAGTCTTAGTTGGATGGGTGAGTTTCTTGAGACTCGTCTCCACATTCACTCTCACTTAGTTGTGTGATGAAGGAATAAGTGTTGCTGTTTGATTCGTAGGAGAAGGGAACATTTTTATCCTTTCCATATTGTCCAACTTGTTCTGGGGCCCACCAAATCTCCAGAGAAGATCAGTAAAATCTTCTCTTAAGATAGTTGGTTCCCCAGATGAAATTGGAACTGGATAAGGCCCTGATACATGTTAGAATCTTTACTGCTTTAGAAGCAAAGAGGTTTATTTTACTGAAATCCCTTGAAGTTGCAATTGGGTGGTACATAATTTGAATCTCAATCAGGATACCAGCTGAGATGACCAAGATTTACGGCGTTTTCCTTAGTACCTCTATAGAAATAAGGAGATAGTGCCCCATTTAGGCCATGGCATCATCAAGTACGTGCTACATTTCAGTTCTTCTGTGTATCATCCAACCATTTGATGCTATGCTGTGTGTAAGCCTATAAGCGTTCTAAATAACCTAAAAATCCAGTACTTTAGTCAGCTTGGAAAGTTGAAACTATTAATTTATTTTCAGAGAATAACCTATCCTGTATGTATGTACTTTATGCCTTTAATCTACGGGCTTTTACATTGCCGTCAGCCCTCTGTGGACGGAATTTAAATGGCCGTAAGTCGTTCACATTACAGACTTTCAGAAAAAAAAAAAAACATATTTTCCGTCCTATGCACATAGGAATACGAACTAAAAACAACCTGAAAGACAATATAATTTTCTACAGAAGAGCAATTTTTGCAAATGAAAATTAACTGTGATTATTTTGTCATGAAATGCAAAATATAATCTTTATTATTCATTCATTCATCAGTAATCTGTCAGACGACAGGTCCACAGTCTCTTCCAAAACAGTTCCTCCACTTAATGCGATCTAGAGCTTTCTCCTTCAAATGAGAATATCCTCTTCTGTCCCCAAGGTCATCCAGCATCTTCTTACGTCTTCTTGTGACTTCTATCCGCCCTTCTATCTTCGTATACATGGTATCTCTGTTTTTGGAAAGAGACTATCCAGGAAAAGTGATAATGTGGTAGTTTTTCCATTTGCTTTCCACATCGCAGTACAACAGCCGTGGTCACGCCTGTTGCTATACGAACTTGAACCATCTCGAACATCAGTTGCTCTGTGCTTCAAGTCGCTGCTGATGAGGCTGCTTTCGGCATCAGTTTTTGGTTTTTGGTGTCTCTCTTCGTCTGATGCCTACCCTTTGACCTGTCCAGCAAGGGATGCCCCGCCAGTAGCTACGCTACCGCTGGTATAGCTCTCAGGGTCCTTGGCATACTCAAACCCCCTCACCACAATCTTTATTATATATGTTATGAAATTCCAAACGACTTACCCGTAGTTTTTTCTTCAGTCTTTAGACATGACGATTTTGTAAATATAATCACAATATATACAATAATATTTTGTTCAGAATGTATGCGAGTTTGAACTGCGCCACTTCACATTTTACGCTACCTCGAGCTTTGACGCGCGTGTACCACTTCTTGAAGCAGTCCACGACACACAGCCCAACATCACAATCTTTACAATAGAAGAGGTGCTCCTGCTTTTCTTATTTAGCGAACATACTCAACAACGTCTTTGTTTCCCTTTGATTGGCCAGTGTTTTTAATGTACCACCTCCTGTAGACTCAGTTGGGCCCCAGATGAACTTGGCCTCCCCCGAGAGACGCTACTGACCGTGATATTCACCTCGCGCGATTGAAGAATCATCTCGGGGAAGTGGGTCTCCAACAATATCGAACAAATTATATTGATTGACAAAGCGACACTCTCACCTGTTAGTAGTACTCGCAAAATAATGATGCACTGTAATTATAATACTAGTCGAAAACAGTGCCAATCCGACACTGATACCGAAAGTCACAGCGATGAAGATGCCTTTTACTCAAAAAGTAATACTGGCTCAGTGGGTTTATACCTCTTCCGAGGTACAAAATAAAGATGATATGTAAAGAAATATATGACAATCCGACACTGACTTCCTAACTGATAATTCGCTACTAAAAACCAATCCTTGAAAACGTCACACTTCCTTGAAAGCTCTAGAAGCACTAACATGTGAGCACAGATGAATATTTACTCCTCAGTTCTCAAAACAAAGCTGGGCTCTATTTGGCTGACCAGGTCATAAACAGTCATATCTAAACGTAAATAATATCAAAGCCAGTACCGCGATAAACGATTTCATTGTTCAGTGCTAACGAATGAACCATTGACATGAACTTGCCGGGGTTTTTGGTTTCAAACCAAAGATCAAACTGTCAGCACTCCCAGAGGGAGCACGTGTCCTGCGTTAGACATATCTAACATTCGGCCACGGCGGGGTGTTGCTTGCTGTTAGATATATCTAACATTCCTACGTTAAAGGCTATGAGGAATTCTAGTTTGTGGTCTATGCTAAAATTAATTTATTAAGTTCACACCTGAATACCACACAGAAAAACAATTGTCACTGGTAAGGTGGTTGGGCCCAAAGTACACGCAGAGAAAATTAGTGCGGCCATAACTTTCACGTAGGTACATGTTTTATAACCAGAATGCAGGACAACTTATTTTATGGGTTTTTTTTAATTAACTGCGTATTTACAATCTGCTCTCTTTGTGGAGCATTAAGTAAATCTGTGGGTGAGTGGCATGAGTGGAGCATTCATCCTCCGATGAATCCCCTATCGGTCTTGTAGATGGATAATATTGGTTTCCGTGTCTTCAGCGGGTTCGGGGAGGTCAGTAGGCCATTGTCGTTCTAGTCTCCTTGGCACCTTTGGCGGAGTATTCAGGGCCGCTATGAGTTTGTTGCTATGTCCATCTAGCCGTGCGCTGTATAGTCTCGACAGTCTGCGGATCTCGTCACTGACGAAAGGAGTTTGGAGGTCGTTGTGAAGAGTTAAGTTGGACACATACCAGGGTGCATCTGCGACTGCTCGTAGGATTTTTGACTGTATTCTCTGTATGATTTTTGTGTGTGACAGTTTAGCACAACCCCACAGTTGGATCCCGTAGGTCCATATTGGTTTGATGATGCATTTGTATAGGAGTAGTTTGTTGTTCATGGACAGTTTAGATTTTTGTCCCAGGAGCCAAGACATTTCCTTTAGTTTTAGGTTTATCTGCTGTCGTTTGGTTTTGATATGCTTATGCCATGTCAATTTCTGGTCTAAGTGTAGACCTAGATATTTCACTTCGTTTTTAACTGGTATGGGAATGTTGTTTATCGATACCTGTGGGCATACTATTCGTCTTGTTGTGAAGGTAATGTGGACCGATTTGTTCTGGTTTATGTTGATCTGCCAGTTGTGAAACCAGTGCTG